AGATAGGTTGGTAGGACACCTTCTCAGGCATGAAGGTCTAGTCAGAGACATATTAGAGGCAGAAACAGGAGTTAGGAGGGGTAGAGGTAGACCTAGATTAGATTACTGTTCGCAAACAGTTAAGGATGTGGGCTGTTCTAGTTTTAGGGAAATGCGAAGATTAGCTCAGGATAGGAAAGAGTGGAGGTGCGTGTCCAACCAGTCTTAGAACTGACGACCTTATGATGATCTACAATTTGAAAGATATCGTATTTCGAGTTGTGCTATCGATGCTAGCAATTTTAGGGTAGAGTGAAGATGTCCTGGTGTGTGAGTATAATTCGGTTTGTCTGCTTTTTTGTTAAATAAAGTAAATCCTGTTCACGTACTCTTAAAATTGAAAAGAATCGTACAAAAACATAAAGTACTAGCCGGTTTTAACCCTTTTAGTTTTCATGCCTGCGCCCCTGAGTTGAAACTACCTAATGGTTATTAAATGGTATTACAAAGTTACTAGCATCTGAAAAATGGAAATAGATGACTCGACTTTAAGTTTTGTTCATTGCAATTGAATTCACGAGCTATTGCTTCTTTCATCTTCTAATCAATAAGGAAAATTTGAATAGAAGTTCAGACTGAATACATATCTACTTATTTTGCACTATTTCAGACAGTTCAATTTATATGTTTCCAAGAGTTCCATTTTTCATTTCGAGCGAGACTATTACATTTCGCAAAAAGTGCTTTATATTTGGCAATCATAAGCGCAAATTTAGTAGGTATTTTGTTTAGTTTTACAAAGCGAAATTGTATTGGAAAACTTTTTCCATATATCTCGGGTGTCGTTTCAACTACGAGTTTCTCAGTCGCGATACGTTAAACTTATTCCGAAATACTTCCCTCTGTGCTAGGTTTTATCAGTCATAATTCTATTCTCATGATTTGTTTTCTTTTTCCCCGAACTTAGATTGCGCGGTTGAGTTACTTTTGAGGTTCCATTTCACAGAAGGAAAAATAGAACCCTTAAAAACTAAACAAGAATTTAATGAAATTTAAAACAAATCAGACACTTTGAATTTTTGCTGGGTTAAACTCAATGTATTAGTGAATTAATTTTTTGAATTAACTGGACCCATTAGGGGTAACCTCAAATTAAGGAGAAAAAATTGTTGTTGCTGTTACTTTCTCGCCGGGAATCGAACCCGGGTTCGACTCCCGGCGAGATAGTGATAAAAGCAACAATTTTTTTCATTAATTTGAGGTTATCTGTAAGGGGTGAAGTTAAATCTAAAAATTAACTCACTAATACATTAAAGCAAATCAAAATTTAATTAACAATCCAAAAATATTCATAAAATAGAGGCTACAGTTATGTTCTTGGCTCATATTTATTATTAGTAGAAAATAAACATTGAGTATTTAATGGATTGTTAATTA